AGTGATAACTACTTGGTATGTATGGTAATAAGTGTGTTTTTACACACTTATACGACTTGCAAAACATGACTAAATTGGGTTATTATAGTTGGTATGTGGCTTAGTCTATGTAATTTTATTTTGTAGGTTATTTTGATGGATGTTTTGAAATTCAAAAGAAAAGACGTGAAAAGTGACCAAAATGAAGGAAAACGAAAGTTCAAGGACTAAAATTTGAAAAACCAAAAGTTGAACTAAAAGGCGATTCAAGAACGCGAACAATCTGAGTATTAACTCTGGGATAATACGGGATGATTAAAGGAAGAAAAACAAGAAAGGACCAAAATGAAGAAAAATAAAAGTTTTGGGACTAAAATGCAATTATCTAAAAGATGAACCAAAGGAGTAATCGAGGATTTGATTGAGCCAAATACCAATTGGAGGCATTATTGATATATGGAATGAAAAGAATGAAGAAACGAGGTTAAAATTGAAGAGAACAAGTTGCAAGGACCAAAATGACAATTGTTGGAAGTTAGTACTATGTGACCGCATAGTAGTAACTCCCATGCGACCACATGCATGGCTTCAAAGAATTTAAGTGACAAAATTTTTTCATCTATGCGGTTGCATAGACCAAATTCGGGGTCGAATTCTACAGTTTCCTGTTTTTGTTAAAATTCTTGTGGAACTTCGTTTAGACGTGATATATAAACCCTAACATCATGAGATAAAGGGCAGAACATCTAGGGAAGAAGAAGAACTCATGTTGGAGAGGATTTCACGCTGTAATCACGAGAAGAAATGTGAAGATTAAGGAGATTACACGCCAATTCATTCACCGGTGATGTCGTTTCTTACAACTATTATGTATTTTGTTCTTTTCTCCATGTTAGGCTAAATTTTTATGTACTATAAAATTGATGAACTGAGTAATGTGATTTTTTATATTCAAGTCTTTGCAAACTTGACATCGAAACGCGTGCTTGAGTTTTGAGTGATTTATATACAATTAATTGTTTCAATAATTATATGCACGTAATTATATGAACGTGGTGACTTATTTCATGGGTTCAAGAGAAGAGGAATGAGTTTGACATGGAATAAATCATCGTAGGGTCCGATAAAGGATAGAGATATACCTTATGCCTTGCGTGAATCCATAAATGCTCATAAAATCACATGTATTCTCGTATACTTGTACCCATTATAGAGATATAGGCTGGTAAGATATAATAATAGATTCAACTTTGCTCGAAAGAGATTGCTGGATAGAATTAGGAGCATTGATTCTTCAAAATATCGACGTGTTGCCATTTGTGAAATTAGGGTTAAAAATAGATATTGTGTAGGGATTCTTGATCCTAGTGTGGTTCTTATTAATTAATTTAATCAACATTACATTTAATATTCATTTTGCACTCAAATTCACACGAGTCCTTGCATATTTGCTTATTAGGTCAAAATTAGGGTTAAGTTACGTCATCTCAAATCTTGTTCATCTTTCAGTTTCAGTTAAGATCAAGTAGATATAATTAAACTACTCAATCTCTGTGGGACGACATTCGGACTCAAATTTTTCAATTTATTATTTGTTAACGAACCGTAGACTTGTGATGATTTAAAATCAATTTGTGAACATATGGCACTGTTATTTGAATGTAAATGGGCCAATGTTAGCTTTTTTATGTAAATGGGTTAGTGTATGTGTTATTGTTTTTACGTGAGGACATTGCGATGGTTTATTGTTAATGAACTTGTTAGGATATGTAATTGCTCCCAAGTTTATCCAAATTTTAGTTGGTCAGTATTTGCAATATATAAATTTTCTTTTTTTCCTATCGCATATACATATTTTTAGGTAACCGTTTGTAATATCTATTTTGGTACCCATCGTAATGCTCGATCTTTTTTCTTGTAAAATGCACTAACGTCCAACTATCGAGAATTCCAGCAAGTATCTATAGGGGTTGATAGTTTTACAGCTATTAATGATTGATATTTTACGATTTCAACATGTTGTAAAATTGCATTTCTAACTAATCTTAAGCTACAATTGCAATAAGAGTAACATAGTAAACATAAACAATCAAAGTTGTTATTGTCACAAATAAATAGAAATTTAAGACTGATTTTATCTTTCATTGAATGTCACGTGATGGTGTTCATACGGGGCCTAAACGAATGGTCCAGTTGTGACCAGTTTGTTGACATTGACTGCTTTTTTTGCGTCGTACGAAGCTTCTCCATCAATTGTAACACAAGACCTACTACAAAGATATTACTTGGAACTAATAGTAAAGTATTTTTGTTCTTGCATCTCTTTCCTTCATCATCTATATGCATGAAATCTCTCTTGTGCAAAACAATGAATTTCAAATTATTACTCGTACCTGAAAATATGAGATAGTAATGATAAGAATTCGACACAACCATAATATCAATATTTATTAGCATGCAATTGACACCTACAAATAAATTATAACAAATAATATTAAACAAGTGAATATGATAGATGAGCTAGTAAATGTTGGGCTCAACATTTCATCTGTTGAATCTATTGCATTTTACAGACTGTTGTAAAAATACATTCTTATAGTGTTGATTGTGTTCATGAATGCTCAACTATCAAATAACAAAAATTTCATAAATCATTGATCATGCTTTATTAAAATAGGAAATGTCCCACAACATTTTTGGAAAACATTATTGTCATTAAAAAAACATATGTAAATCCAAATGTATTGAATGTTTAATAATTTAAGAAATTGAAAAAGGGGTGAACATGTTGTGTTTAACTTTAGATATGTCAAAATATTTAATACTCATGTATCATGCTAATAATATGATTTAACTGAACTAAATTTAAATTTAAAATAACTGATTATAAAATTCACTTTATTTTAAAAATCATGCTCTCAAACCAACTATAAGAAATAATTAACTTTCGATCTAATATGAATTTAATAAATATTTATTTCTAAAAAATAAATTTATTCACTCACACGATACAAGCCACGGATTAGAATGGTCAGTAAACTTTTCTAATCTCTTCGTCACAACTTGAAATACATTACAAGATAATCAATTTAACCAATACCAAATCAAGAAATCTTTAATATCTAATGATATTATACTTAAACTAAATTTGTCGAAACTTGAATAAAATTTTCAAATTTTTCTTTAATTAATTGGAGCTAATTCCACTTTCTAGTCCCTTTTACTAATAACTAATTAATCAAAATAACCTTCATCCAAAGCATAAAAATAATTATCTCATCTTCTATCTAGTGAAAATTTGAAATTACACCTGCGCCAATTTACTTTACATCTTATTCCCCAAAATCATGCCATCGCATGAGTATTTCACCATCACAATCATTTTACAAACTATCCTTACTCAAACATCTAACTAGAAATCTATGGTTTGCTCAAAAAGTATTGCTAGCCTTCATTCAAATAGAAGTTTATCAATCAAGCAGCTTGAGCAAGAAAAAATTATACTTCTTTCACTTAATCTGAAAATGAGATAATACTGCCCCTGAAGTGGTAACTGGCAACTGAATATGCAGCTTCTTGAACTTACAAATGAAAGAAGCATATACTGCACGAAATGGAAAGAAAGAATCACTCTTTCCACTTAGAGCATCTGTAATTACATTAACTTTTTCCTAGTGGTAGTCAATCTTGCAGTCATAATCCTTTAACAACTTCAATTATTTTCCTTGTCTCAAATTCAGTTCCTTCTAATCAAAGATATACTTTAGACTTTTATGATCAATAAATATTTGACATTTCTCACCATAAAATATCTAAGTGATTTTACCTTAGTCTGCACTTAGGTAAATATGTTTCCATAATGTATGATCCCATAATGATAAATCAAGTAAAAGGTAAAATGGTAGATATATATTTTTTAGAATAAAATAATTAAATAAAAAACCAAAAAATCAGAACTCAATCACTGTCAACCATCGCCACCCATCCACCTGTTGCCAACTGCCAACAACAATACCCCAGTATTGTTTCCAACAACTTTTTAATCAAATCTCTTAATATAATGTTAATTACCAAACAAACCAAGAAAACCCTCACTCAATTGACCGACGAAGTAGGAATTTGTGTATGTAGAAATAAAGTAAAAAGATACTTATAACGTTAGCAAATTTAGCTGAAGAAGAAGAAGAGTAAAGAATTAAGGGTACACTTGATTTAGCTAAAGAAGCCATATCAAAATCCTGTTCTCCGCCGAGTAGCATTTTTCTTATAGATGTTGGGAAAATTGTTACTTATTGGGGGGAAAAAGAAGTCTGGGTGATGGTGGGAGGTACAATAGTGGATGTTGTAGCCAGTGGGCTATGCGGTGACGGGTAGATGGATGGCAGTGGTCGACAGTGATTGGTTATTTTTTTTTTTTTTTTTTTTTTTTTGGGGGGGGGGGGGGGGGGGGGGGGTTGGGGAAAAAAAAGTTTATTTTTTTTTTTTTTTTTTTTTTTTTTTTTGGCGTGGGGGTGGGGGTAGAGGGTTTGGAGAAAATGAAGTTCATTTATTTTTATTTTTTTTATTTAATTAGTCTTATTATTTTACTATAGAAAATGTAAATTTATCATTTTATCGTTTACTTAACTTATCAAATCAAGTCAAACTATTTATTTTTAGGTTGACTAATGAATTAAAGGGTGGATTCGATCCATTGTGCTCCGGTTGCAGTCGAAGTAAAAGGCTTGGGACTGTGGATGAAAAAATAAAAGATTTTGGTGTAATCTACAATAAATTGAAAGATTTGGGGCCTCACTACAATTTTTTCTATGTGAACTCTTGTTTGTCTTCTTTTAAAGTAAAACTTTTTAATTTTTATACTCATTTTCAGTTATACCTAAAATATTTTACACGTAGATCTAAATTTTTTCATATTTTTTAACGATACACTTGAAATTTGTGTTCAAAATATTTTTTTTTTTTTTCAAAAGAATGACTATCCGCGGCTAAAATGACCAACCCGATAAAAAAGCCAAGTTTAAAATGAGCAACTTCTAAGAGGGCGTTTTGGGCTCTCACCAGTGAAAATACCCTTCTTCAATAAATTCGTCCGGTGGCACATTATACCTTCAAAAAACCCAGCTGAATCTCTGTTGCATGCTTAACACAGGCAAAACAACGAAGGAGCAGAAAAACCCACAATTATGTACGGGGGAGGTCAGTATATCTTGCAGAATTTCCTCTACACACACACTCTCTCTCTCTCATATACATGTATAACATATTTTGGTTATAATTTTGCCGTCTTTTTACTTCAGACGAAGTTTCGGCTGTAGTGGTAGACTTGGGTTCGAATACCTGCAAAGCTGGTTATGCCGGTGAAGATGCGCCGAAAGCTGTTTTTCCATCTGTGAGCCTACTAATTATTATTATTATTATTTTTTAGCATTTTTTTTTTTAATTTTCACTCTTTGTTTTGGTTGTGGTAGCGCAATAGGGTTTTCTGGAGCAATCCTGGATTATTTAATCTGTTTTGTGTTTGTGCCCTCGATGATTAAGAAATAGAATACTGATCTAAAAATGGAAATGGGTCGTTGCCCAAATTAGATTAGTTATTTGAAGTTGGTGGAGGATATGCACTTTAAATTTAGTAGAAAATTTTGAACTTGAAGCAATACAAGTGAGTGAAAAGAAGCATAGAGCTACAGTAACACATGTTGAATGGTTGGTGAAAGAATTTTCCCTGATTTTAGTGGCCTTTGCTAGGCTTTCCTCTGGAAGGTAATCCATTATACGAATGAGTTTTGGTCTCCTCGGGAGGGAAGATTATCTCATGTCTAAGCTTAGGATGCCAGATAAACTTATAGCTATTTTTCAGAAACTTAGGAGAGACTTTCTGCAGGGCAAGGAATAGTCGTAGCTAGGGATTTCTTGCAAGTAAAAGTATAGGCGGTTTAGGATTTGGAAATCTTAGTAAATAGCTTGGCTCTGCAAGGAAATAGCTTCGGTGTCTTCCTTCCAGGGTAGAGTGGTCGGAAGACAAAATCGTTTGAAGCAAAGCGATTGAGATTCCAAAAGATTTGTGAGAGGTTCCTTAGGGCCTGCTTGGGAGTTTTTTTCCCCAGTTTTGACAGGTTTTGGGTGGCACCATTTATGAGGGCTTGGGAAAACCGGTGCTTGCTAGTTTTATTGGGCAAGGGTTTTGCATGGTTAAAAATCACCTAAAACTAGTGTAGTGTAATTTTGAATGTTTCATTCAACCTACCAAATCGGTAAGTTTTGGTTGTTTATCATATTCTCTTAAAATCTTTCCCTCTATATACCTTTCAAATTTTTTTCCCCTCTATGAGATAATTATTTCACATCAAAATATGTTGTTCAAAACTAACTTACATTTAAAAATAAATTAACAAAATAAATAATTTATAAGCTAAAAAATTGTTTTATAATTAAAAATTTTACTTATAAGTAATATAAGATAGAAAATTTTGTGTAGAAATTTTTTTATAATGTAAAAATACTGCAAATAACGTAAAAATTTACTTATAAAATATAAAAAGTTACTTATGAGTAAAAAAACTCATTTATGTGTAAACATAAGTACAAAATTCCTTTATAATTGTAAAATTTACTTATAAATAAAAATACTAAGTTAAAATTTTAAGAAAATATTTAACTTTTAAGTTAAATATTAAAAACATATAAGAAAAATATCATTTATGAGTAAAAAATTTCATACAGTAAATTATAAATTGAAAATTTCACTAAGGGACATATATGTGATTTTATTATTTTAATGAACTTTTAGAAGTGGTGGAAAATAAACTTCCAAGCATGGATTGAATTGTTCTAAAAATTGTTACTAAAACCACTCAAAATTGGTACTTTTAAAAATGCCCATAAACGCTAATATCTATGGAATTTACTTCTTTTATCCAGTTCAAAACATACGATGTGGTGGCAGTGGATGTAATTTGTATAAGGTTGGATTGATTCATGCCAACATGATTATTTCTAAAACATTGTGATATTTCTTTTCCTTAAGCAATTATTGGTCTCCATTTTTTAAACCTCATTTTCAGCCACATATTTCATGTGACTCACGACTTTTATTAACTTTTCAAGTACATATTTCATCAATTTTTATCAAAATTTATCAAAAATATGATTTTTAGCAAAACCAACGCTCGGGCTAAAATACCCCTTAATTTCTAGTGGTTCACTTTCTAAAAAAGATATATCCCTGTTTAAAGGGATTAAAATTTTATTTTAATCTTAGTCAAAATTAACAATTAATTTTAACAACATATTTCATGAGATCTACAACTTCTCAATCATACATTTTATTAACTTTTATCAAAATCTATTAAGATGGAGGTTGAGCCACATTTTTATGAAAAAATGTATTTTAGAATAGTAGGTCAATGAGAAATGTGGGGTTGAAAAATAAGGAAATTTTTTTGATTTACGTGTAATATTATTTTAATGAATAATGTGTAATTGAAAAGAAGAGAGAGAAAAATGTATATCAAAATGGGAATCAAACAAGGCATAAAAATATTATTTTAATCCCCACCAAATAGGGCATAATGAATTGGTCAATGTCAAAAATAAAAATAAATTAAGTTACTTCAACATCTTTATTGACTATTCATGAGAATGTTTACACGACTGATCGGCTGTGAAAGTTAGAGCATCCTTAAAATATCCTCATAAAGTGTTATATTGGTTTACTCTCGGAAAAAGATATAATGAATTGAAATTTCAATTATAAAGAAATTTGAGGACACGGAGGTGTTTTACTTCGACGCCTTTATTGACCATCCGTAAGAATGTTACACGACTTCTTCTTAACTGAGAAAAGGTTTTGAAAGTTAGAGCATCTTTATTTACAAATCATGACTCACGAGCAGGCATAATGGAAATATAATTGACATTGTTGAGTGCAGAAAGGGGTGATCATGTAAAAATCAACAGTTTGAACTACTTTTTTGGGTGATCTGGAATGGTTTACCAAGAGAGAAATAATAGAATCTTTGAAGAAAAAGGACTAGAAGTTTCTGAATAATGAGACACACATAAGGTTTTATCATTCATATAGTTTTCTACATATAAGGAGTTCAAGTGCGCCCCTTCCTCTTCTAGAGTTTATCCTGATTGATTATTAAAAGATTCCTTGTTAACTTGTCCCTTTAACAATTGTAGTTATGCTTCTATAATTAATAAACTCAAGTTTCTTATTCAAACGGAAGAAAAATGAATTGCAGAACTACAAACAAGAAAAGAAAGAGACAATAGGGATCACATCTAGAATTTGTAGGGATTAACTTGTGACCACTCACACATCTCCTGCAAGGTATTTATTGGAAAAAGAAATATAAAAGAAAGACATTGTTGGACTAATTTGTATAGTATAAGCATCATTTCTAGCTTCCACATGTAATGTGTTACTCTAAATCTTTTTACTATTTTACTTAATCCATAAGATTTTAATTTTTGATTGCATTTGCTATTTACTTTACCTTTTTATTCTTGTAAATGTCTTGGATTAGGTTGTCGGATCAATTGACCAAATGGAAGTTGATCCTGATATTCCTGACAAGTATTCTGAATCTGCCCCAGATACCAAATCCAAAGGTAAGGGCAAATTTTATGTAGGATCTCAAGACTTGGGAATCCGCCGTGATCATATGCAGGTTAGTTTGTTTCGTAGCACACATTCTTTGAAGATTTGGTCATTGCTATATGTTCTTGTGTGCTGATCAAAGAGCACACTGTAATATCAGGTGCTGTCACCTATCAAGGATGGAATAGTTGTAGACTGGGATATGGTTGAAAGCATATGGGACCATGCATTGAGGTAATTCTTTTGGTAACCTCTCAATCTGCATGATTTCCAGCCTTTCAGTTCTTTTGCAGTAGCTTTGTTCAGGTGTTGAACCCTTCAGTACTCTGTTTACAGGTTTTATGCATTTTCGATTGTAATGTTTTAAATTGTAGGCAATGCCTGTTAATTGATCCAAAAGAGCATCCCATGCTACTTGCCGAGCCATGTTCCAATACCCAACAACAGCGAGAAAAGTAAGCTAAAACTTTGAAGTATTTTAGTGGTTTCCATGACTTGTAATCCTGTGGTCTGCATAATTACATGTTTTTTTTCTTGAAATTTATGTTTCTTGGCTCCTCTAATACAAAATTTAGATGTAATAAGCATTCAGAGCATGAGTCTATACAGTTGATGATTGTTTGTTTTAAATATTGTAATTGTTACTTCATCTTGTTAGTTTGTTCACCAGTAACTCATCTATATAGTTTGCCATCCTTGGGCAGTTAATCGTCGATATCTTTAATACAATTCACTTAGAAACGCAATCAAGATTCGTTGGGCGACGTGGCAGTAAAGAAATATAACATCCATTACATATGGTTATTTAGAACTCTCAAGAATTAAGAATTAGGTGAAAAGTCCTCTGAAGAGGTCGGTTGAAGAATCTGCGTAGTTGATAATTTATGAGATATGACAGTGAAGAGTTTCCAGAATAGTATTTGGCTTGGAGATGAGAAGCTTAAAACTAGATTCCTTAATCTCTGATATTGGAGTGGATAAGTTACGATTGTGAAACAAAAGTAATGTCACGACTCAAAACTAGAGCAAATGTTCAGTGCAGATGACGTGAGACCAAAAAAATAGGAATAGTGAGGCTCCTCAATCCTTATTGGCTTACTAGTCTCTGGCTCTTGATTTTCTTTATGATTCGTTATTCGAATTTTTCATACAAAGGGGTTGCAACTAGTTCATTTTGCTTTTGTTATAACCTCCAAGAAATAGTGGCTGTCATTTTGAGCTCTCTTGCTCTTCCGAAAATCTTAGAAGCACATTTCTCTTTCAACTGTTGCACCTCTTCATTAATCTGTTTTATTTTCAGTGCAAAAGCTGTTATCTGAGAGGAAACAATCCTGTTTCTGCTTCATTCAGCTAGTTTCCATGGTTTGCCATAATCTAAGCAAGCTGCAAAGTTAGAAGCTGTAGAAATGGTAGATGTAAGATGCACGGTCGATTAGTTGTTGCAAGCTGCTCAGGTTCTTCAGTGGCAGAAACTTGTAGCTGTCTGTGTGGAAGATTCTGAGGGCCAGCATAGTTCAATACTAGATGAACTAGATGTACCACGAGGTAGGCTTCAGGAAATTTGAGTTCATAATGAAGAAACAATTGCATGTTCAGTAAAGTAATAATGGGAATCCTTGTAGAAATATTTTAGAATGCTTCTTTAGTTATTTTCTTACTTCAATTAGGTTACCAAAATCCTATATGCCTAGAGCTTGTGCATTGTATTTTGATTATTGAAAAAGCTCGTACTTTCTCTCTCTAATTTCTCTATATTATCTTCCATGCCCCCCCCCTCTCTCTCTTCTAAATTTCATTCTTGTTCGTTGTGTTATACACCAAGTTGATATTAGAACTTGGCACTCACCTCTTACCTAATAATTGCTCGTGCACGTAGTTCCTGTGATGCTCGAACTCGCTTTTCTGGCCGGCATACCCGTGTCGACACGATACGACATGGGTATGTGTATGAAATATGAGGCAGACACGGCCACGGATGAAACTTGTTGGATCTTGGATGGCGCTATTGTTGTTGCAAAGTGAAAGCCGTGAATATGAAAGGGTTAGGGAAGAAGAAAGGGTTTTCTTGGATTTGGGCCTTTTAAAAAAAAAAAAAAAAAAAAAAAAAAAAAATTGGGGTTTTTTTTTTTTTTTTTTAGTTTTATCCATTGGTCTTTAGTTTTGGCTTTTGGGAATTAATGATTACCGGTAGATAGTTTTTTTAAAGTGTTTATAAACATTTATGTAAAATTATCTTATTGGACCATTTATAAACATGCCGCCAAGTTAATTGATTTTATTATAAATTAAAATATATAAAATGCTCACATCTACAACAAATGAAAAGATTTTGCTTGTAAATTTATGGGGAAAACTTGCCACTTATTATAAATTACAATATAAAATTTGCCATTTAATTATTATTAACTTTTTACATGTGAATTTTTGAAAAAAATTGAAGTTTCAAAGATGTACTCACGTACCCGTGTCCGAAATTTGGACTCTTTTTAATTATGTTTCCATATCCTACATTTTAGAAAATAAAAGATTTAAGACTTGGATACATACCCATATTCGAGACCAGTACCTAAGTTCGAGCATCATAGCACGGTTCATACAAGTTAATGTAGTAGTCGCAAAATTTTCCCTTCGTATGTCCCACCTTCATCCACAAACCAGCAACCCAACAGCATTCACCTCAATTCTGTCCTCCCTCATCCTCCAAAACTCGAGCCAACCTTTAGCCACCATAAAACCACTAAACTACTAGCCCTATACCAAATTCGAACACCCAGAAGATGTAAGAAAGGCAACAACAACTGGAAGGAAAAAATCAATCGGCAAAACATTTTGAACCTTGCTTTACTTTTAGCAGTTGTTGTTATTAGTTTAGTAAAAAGAAATTGTCTTCTTCGTTTAATTTCTCATATTGTTCTTAGTCAGCCAAAAAAGGGGGAGGAAAAAATCTCTTATTGGTACTTGTTGTTGCTGTTAAAATCAAATACTTTCCTACACTAATCTCATGTTTTATCACTACCAACATGGCCACCGAGTCCTCGAGCATGTAGTTTTTGAATTTTATATTCTCGTAGTGCCTGTACTACTACATTAGTAATCATCATCTCCTATATAAGATTCTTTCTTGCAATCAATGCATCAGTTGTGTTATGTTGGCCGCGCTTATACTTGATGGCAAATGTGAACTTTTGTAGAAATGGGATCCAGTGTGCATGCACGCGGTTCATTATTTATTGAGAGGTGATAAACTTTAAAGCTTGATGATCAGTAAATAAAACAAGCTATATTTGAACCAAGTCATGTTCCCAACCTCTCATAGCTTGAACAAGTGCATAAAACTCATTTCTGTCATAAGCTCATAGAATATTCTAATTGTGAGGATGAGAGTTATGAACATTCAATTGTGTCCCCTCTTGCGATTATACTTTCAGAAGCACCAATACCAATGACACAGTTCTTTGGATAAGTTACACTTGCTATTTGGAGTTCTTTGTTGATATATGAATTAAATGAAAGATTGCACCATTGGTCATATCAATATCGTCATTTGTCAAATAAAAGATCGGCCTTCATGTATAAGAAGTTGCAGCCTACGTTGTTGGAATTGAGTTCCCTCATACAGGGAGAAATGATGGAAATCCTAATAGATATATCGTATGGAATACTTGTTAGTTTATTTTAGGTTTTCCTATTTAAATTAGGTTACTTGAAACCTTGTATAAAGAGGGTCTTATGCATTGTAATACTTTGATTTAAATATTGCATTGTATGGTGTGTTTTGAGAGAGAGACATGATCAGTGTTTCGATGATCAAGTATGGACAATAGACCGTATTAGAGAATTGATTTATTTGACATTGTATACTCGGTTTAATGTTGTAACTACAAGTCATATAGATGGGTACCCAGTTTCGTGTTGTTTTCTCCTTGTTTAAATTGATAATATACTTCTTGTGTATTATCTTTTGATAATAAAATATTTGATTACCTATTATGCCAAATATGTGAAAAGAATAAAAATCCAGGAAAATAAAAGAAGGCCAAATAAAAGATAATTTACATTCTCCTTCTCATTTTTTTTTTCTCTCTCTTATTTTCAATAACACAATCTTTCATAAAATAATATTACACATAAATAAAAAACTTTTCATTTTTTTCAACCACGCATTTTTCAAAAAAATACTATTTCAATAATTAAAATTTGAAAAGAACGAGGGCAAAACAGGGGCTATATATATATATATATATATATATATATATATTAACCTCCCTTTTCTTCTCTCTTTCTCCCTCTCTTTCTTCCTTTACGTTAAGTAAACCGGTCTATTCTATCATGAAACCTTGAATTGTGTTTTTCTGAGTACATCTCTTATTGTTTTGGAGTCCTAAACCAGCATTGAGGAATATTTTTTATGAAACTTAGTAATTGCGTGATTGCACTAGCATCTCTTTTTGAGATCTATGGAGAATGCAATATGTTTCATAAAAGTTTTGGGATTAAATGTTCAGAAAGCTACTGTAAGATAATTCAAGTCATTGATTTGGATAAGCCTCCAATTTATTCTGGGAAAGGGTGACGACTGTTATGGTATAATTGTTTGGTGACAACATTTGAGAAGTTGTTAAAGGCACAAAGAGATGAGAACAACCAGGTGGGACCTCCCTGAGAAACCTTAGGTGCTCAAATATGCATATTTTCATGGTAAAGTACTGTACTAAAACTTCTCATTTGTAGCTTGATTTTACACTTTGGAAAACATGGAATCCTTACTGTTAATGGTAAACATTAACTTACATTAGCTCCAGTGGGAGGATTGCCATCCAAATGTTGACAGAAGTTCAAAAGAGCCTTCTTTCAGTCATTATAATTGATTTATGTTGCTACTTGCTTATATTGATGGTATTAGTATCATTATAAGTGGATATGGTCTGGAATATTTACATTATCTTTGCATATAACTGTGTAATGCTATTTGATATTTTGGGAGGACAGTTTGGATGGTCTAGCGATTTGACAATATGGACATCAAGAAGGTTGATAGCTGAATTGCTTTTTGTAAGATGATATTGTTACTTTAAGTTTTGGAGTTGCTTCTCTAAAGGAATGCACAAGGTACGTAGTCTAGCAAATGAAAGATGGAGGAGCTACTTGCCATGCCAATTTAGAATACCATGCAGGTTGAAGAACCAAGGAAGATGAAACAGAAAGAAGAATTGGAAGGATTGTTTGGGGGCGGGCATCGTATCAATCATGAATAGTTGAACCTTGATAACAAGTAATAATTCAGGCAGGAAAGTTACGAGGCCTCATAAGGCTCTTCACATGCCTACTGCCACACTCCGGCTCTTGATTTTGTTTATGACCTGAATTCTCTAAAAAATCCATCTTCACTAGCGAGTACGAGTAATAGTTTTTTGTGAACATCATTAAGGGACATTTTGTCTACTGTCATATCAGGACGTCATTGATTTTTATACTATAGAAAGCTCATATATTTTTTGTAACATCAGTTTATTTGAGTTTTTTCAGCAAGGAGAATTTGGGGGGCTCGTGTTTTCATAAAATCCTTGAGGCATTTTTCCACTGAAAACTATTGCAGTTTCTCTTTATATATCTTTTCTACAGCGGTTTAATTGCTTCCGTTTGCTTGTGGCTTTATCATATTTGGAATTGAGCTTGCTTAGTTCTGTTTTAGCGATCTGCATTGAATAATAGTAGCAGATGATTGGGTTGACAGTAAGATCAAACGATTCTTTCTCATGGCAGTAATATTTGCACAAAACTATATAGAATACCTATTGCCTGATTCTTGTGAGGGATACTTAGGGCCCATTTAGTGTTATGATTTTTCCTAGGAAGCTACTCATGATGCCACAGTGTCTGTGGAATCTTCATATGTTCAGGATGGGCCCATACTGGTGATCCGTTGCTACCGTGACTGTGGAATCTTCACAGTATCTTGCTTTATTTAATTGCAATCTCATGGACTATTGCAAGTCAAAATTTAACGGAATTCCTACTGAGATGGTCACAATTATGATGGAGCTTTGAGGGTTTAAAGTCTTGTATGTATATTGAAGGTGTTGCTTTTGAATACATCTAAGCGCCCGTTTGGCCCCATTATTCTCTCATTATAATGAGAATTTGATTTTGGATGGTAATTTTTTGGAGAATATGTGGTTAAAAATGAAGGAAAAGTTTAGAGTTTACTTATAATATTATTTTATTAGAGAATGTGTGGTTGATAAGAAGAGGGAGAAAAATGAATTATAATTGAATGAGGCCAAACAATGCTAAATTTGGCCCACTCAAGGACAATCATACATCCATTATTTATTTTTTCATGAATAGTTTAATATCGTGATCATACTAAGTGACTTTCACAATTAGGTGTTTAATTTCTAATGCCATTATATCAATAGTTATCAAAGGAAAGGCACCAAATATTTTCCCCTCTTGCTTTTAGAGTTGGGACATCTCATGGATGGAAAACTATTTAGGCCATGTTTGATTGGCCCTTTTTCCATGGAAAATAATTCCAATTTCCACCAATTTTGTGTATTTGATAGCAAAAATTTTCCATGGAATTCTTTTTCCATCTTTTCCTCACACGTGCATTTTCCATGATTTGATGGAAAATCAATTCTCACCAACTAGTTTCCCTTTTTTTTTTTTTTTATAATAACAATGGGAACAAATTTTATCAACAATTGTATCTTTAATTGACAGTTTTTATGAAAAATAAAGTTAAAGGAACACTAAAAGATAAAAAATTTCAACATTTTTCAGGTAGAAAATTATACCAATCAAACACATTAATTGACAATTCCCAGGAAAACAAGTTCTAGGCAATTCAATTTCCTGAAATTTGTTTTCTTTCCACCCAAATTCCATCCTTACAATCAAACGAGCCCTTATAGATTTTGGTGTTTGAAGGGACACGAGATAAGAATAAAGAAGAGGAACGGGTTCTTTGGTCAATTGTGAATTATCTAAGGTGTACTTAGTCATCTTGATTTTAGTTTGAAGTTCTGTGAGTTGATGGTTGGATAAATTTGAAAAGGTGCATCAATGAAGGTGGGTATTTCTTCTCCTCTTCCCCTCACTTTCTCTGTCCTAAATGCCTTGAGCTCTTGCCAGACCATTCCCACAAACTATTGCTCTTATTACAAAAAATGTGAGATCAGATTTTGGATTCAAAGGGCAAAATAAAATTAATTTATACAAATTTTGTGTTGGTATTATGACTGCAATGTCATCACATCATAGTCTTCATTCCTAGTTGATTATACTTTATTTTGTTCTGCAGCTGACACTTTATTGGTTTTTTACTTTTTATACTATTGAAGGAGTGTTGACTTATTACATTTTTTACAGAACTGCAGAGATTATGTTTGAAAAATACCAAGTTCCTGCATTATTTTTGGCCAAAAATGCTGTGAGCTCCCGTGTCCATCCTGCTTTTCTGATTTAAAGGAAAATTATTGGGCACATTTATCTAACAATTGCTGAATTACTTGTTTTTCCATTTTATTTGAGACTTTTTGTATAACTATTTATTCACTGTTTGTTATTTGATTGTGCCAGGTCCTCACATCTTTTGCATCAGGCCGTGCAACCTCTTTAGTCGTTGACAGGTTGGAGCTTATACACAACTTTTGAATTATCACCTCTTGCCTTTTGTGTAGTGTAATGTTTTAGTGTCAATGACTTCCATATTAGAATAGCGGAGCTTTTGGAATATTTTGCTACGATCTTTACCTATTTATTGGCAGAGGTTTTACCCCATTGCATATTAGGGATTGTTTCCATTACTTTAGTTATTGATAGGCATGAGTTGTACGGTTGCTGTAAACTAATTTGAGGCTCTATTGATGCTCGATTTCCAACAACTCATGCTCTGTTCTTTATATGTTTGTATTATGTTTGTGCCCATAGTGTTTATAAAACTATGTAGGTCGTATCCTCTGAGTAGGCATGCACATGGTCCCTGTAAAATTGTTTCATAACTTTGTTTATTTGTAGAACCTATCTCTTGAACATCAAGCTTTCATTTATTCAAAAGCATCAAAATTGGAGTGAGTTATTGCTCTTGTATTAAGTTAAAGATGCTACTGAAAATAAAATATAACCTGCATAGACATGGTTATAGTGAAAAAGAAAAGGTCCAGAAATTAAAGAAGGCATGATATCCATGTATTTGTTCTAATGACTTATTCTTCCTGCATGCAATTTAGAAACCAAAAATTTCAGTCGTCTATTTTCCTTTTTGAATTTTTTCATTTATGTGATTTTAATAACAGTACTTACTAGCTCATGAAACTGTTGGTTGATTCAGTGGTGGAGGGTCAACTACCGTGACTCCGGTCCATGATGGATATGTTCTTCAGAAGGTAGTCCTTTTAACCAAGTGTGGAGTTAAATATTTTGTTTTGAATTGTTTATATTATTTTAGATGAGCTCATTTTCATTTCCAATTGGAAATTATAATCTGTATATTCAGTTTTTCCTCTCTTTTTGAATATATTATTCTGAAAGGATAAATACTATGTCCTTTTTCTTTGTCAGAGCTCCTTTGTAACTCTTAACAAGTTAGAATTTGGTCAAAATGGAAATACTTGAAGTTTAATTCAATGTTTGGGTTCACATACTCCATAATTTGGAACCTCGGATGGTTCTCTTATATCTTATTTTTTCTAAAGTTACAAATAGTTAATATGATTGTCTGAGATCCAAAGTTCCCCATGAAATTCCTTTTAAAATATTAGCTTTTGGTTAGAAAAATTAATATGGGTGCATATTGTAAGTTTATTGACTGTTATGGAAAAAATAATTGAAGTATACGATATACACTATATTAAATTTGTTAGGCTTATGTTTAGGAGAGATTTTTTTAAAGAAATCATTCTTCATGAAAGTCATTTTCAATCACACATTCTACAGGACCCATAACTTTTTCTACTTTTAACTACATATTATTCAAAAAAATCATTTTTTACTTGAAAAACTTCCTTTCCAAACAAATCCTATATAAATGTTGAACAGTACGAGTGATGCAAAATGGAAAGTATATTCTAGGCGTAATCGGAATCAACTCAATTAAAGATCGAATTTTTATTATTGCATTTTATTTTTTTGGTAGATTAGTGAATTTGTCTCCTTTTAAAGGGAAACCCTAGTTTGCCTTTTTAGTCGTAATTTTCCTTTCAATGTTATTTAGAACCTACAAAATGAGGCTCTTTAATTGTAAAATGCCACGTTTGAATATTGAATAAATCTACAATCTTTCCCTCGTTTCTCCCTTCCTAATTTTTCATTACAATCGGCATCAACTGGTGTAATTGAGCAATGTGAAATTATATTTCTTAGTGCTATAGTTTGTATCTTCATCTTCAGGTATATTGATTGGATAATGTAGTTTGATACTGTATTTATGGTATCTTCATCTTTTTGTACCCATTTTGTTAAAAAGATATCAGTTTTTCCAAAAGCTAATTAGGGACTAAATTATTTATTGACCACAAGCTTGGTATGTCTATTTTATTAGAAAGGTCACATTTAATCACAAAACATGCAGGTGCATCATTAGTGATTTTTTGAATGTAGGATTCTTCTTTATTATAGTAACCAAAACTACTAAAGTGGGGAAAATAGTTGCATCTTTTGTGCGCAAGTTATTGCCTCTAAATAAAATTAGCAATTAGAGAAAGTAGAACAAATATCTCCATTTTGCTGTTGTATTTCTTTAGTTTTACTTGGGGAATAGAAATTTGATTTGTGATCAATGGTTGAAATGAAAATTTTATATTGTTAATAAGCTACAATTTCTCTGTATATACCAAAATTTGATAATGGAAGATCTCATTACTAGCTTCAATCTTGGGGGATCTTCATCTCTAGACCATTTGGGTTTCTTCTGTCAAACAGATGGTTTATGGTCTGTCCAATAAGCATTTGCTTTTCCTTGTCGAATATTCGCCTAATGGAGTGATGTCAGGTATTTCCACTTTGCCTAAAAGCTATAGCCCCTAGAACTAATGCAACCCACTATATAACACCCAGATGCAAAATCCCGGAATCCACCCCAGCCCACTTCTTTTGGGCCCACGATGACCAACTTTGCGCTGTGTGTACAACTTTTCAACACTGAAAGTTGTGATAAGACAGACAATAAAAGTCATCTCTTCCATTTTCAACCCTCTAATGACTTGTTACTTTTCTCTATGTTTGCTATAGGCTGTGGCAACATCTCCCATCGGGGGTGAATTTCTTACAGATTGCTTGTTGAAAAGCTTGGAACACAAAAGCATTTCCGTGAGTTTGTTCCCTTCTCTCCTTTTTCTTATGAATTTTGCATGATGACAGAATTAATATAATAACCTGATTTTGTAAATATATGTTCTTTTGTTTCCTTTCCCGTCTCTGCATGAAATTGCAGATAAAACCTCGACATGCATTTACACGGAAGGAAATTCGCCCTGGAGAATTCCTGGTTTGTTATCATATCTTAATATTCTTTTGTTATGACTCGAGTAACCTTCATTTTGTCACCTAGTTGAATGTGGTGTATGACTTAGTTTATGCTTCTAGTTTAATTGAAAGTCGGGTGGGGTGCATGTGTCAATAAATTTAGTACAAATCTATAATTTTTATGCAAATTTATGGTTTATGCTCATTTAACATTACCACTGAATCTCAACTATAAATGCAACATGGCCCTGTTAATTTGTAGCGATACTCTCGTCTCTCTTGTTTTTTGATGCACTTAAAATGTTCAGATGCTTGCGAAGCTGTGACAATTCCAAATATACCCCCTCAAAATTGATAATAGAAACTTTAGAGAAAAATTATGGCCACATTCAAACAACAGTCTCAAAAACGTGTGATAGAGAGAAGTGGAGGCTGGATCTGGGATTTGAATTTGTGTTGGTGAGGTGTCAAATTTAAAGGTGATGTTTCATATTTTTTCTACTAGATAACAAGTTATTTGGAGCAATATTTTATTCTTAACTGTAGGTTTTTGCTTTCAGGCAACCAATATACACTCACAACTTGTGTGCCTAACTTTTGCATATCCATGACATAATATAAAAATGTAAATTTGCAGAAATCTAAACTCAATGTTTGCATGCAATCATATTTACCTTGATGTTTCATGTTTTAGCGCAATGGTACATCTCAAAAAGAAAATATCTCAACGCAATTGTATACTTGGTTTGTTTTCTTATGACTGATAATAGTTTGTTTTCCCTTCTCTGTCACAGACAGTGGACCTTGACTTTCCAAATACAACTGAAAGTTACAAACTCTATTCCCAGGTTGCTGACTGATTGAGCTTGCTTTAGTTGCTGTACCCCACCTTTTCTGTCACTAATTATTTTTATTTGTCACAGAGGATGATTGCTAGTGATATAAAAGAATGCGTTTGTCGAGCACCAGATACTCCATATGATGGTGAGCTCCTTTCAATTGTTTTAATTTTCATTCTGATATACTGACTTCTTCTTGATGTTGATGTTCATGACTAGTAACTTTTGTTGGGCAAAAAGTTTTAGAACAATAATGCAGTGAATGACAGATAAGTACTTTTGTCACAAGTTCTCCTAAAGCTAAAGATAATATTCTTAACCTATGACTAGTTTCAGCATTCACCAAATTCTGGACACGGTATTTTATTGTTATCTCCTCCATCTATAAGGATCATTATCTTTAATGGATGTTGGAATAGCATTAAAGGAGTAGTTATATAGGTTGTTTAGGATTTTGTTGCTTTAAATCTCTAGAATTTTGACTACCATGGAAATTAACAGGACCAGTGATCCTTGTCTGCTATGATGTAGTCTTGATTCTATGATGCTTTTTGATTCGTTTCTGTGTTATATGATACTGATGCCAATGTTTGGATTTCTGGTAGCAAATTTGTAGGATTACATAACCTAAACTTTGTCTGGGATTTTGGGGTAAAATTAATAAATAATAGACGTTGCTGTGCCTGCACTTCAAAACTTCGTCCTGTTTCCAGCCCTCCACCCTCCAAAACCATCCCCTTCAGCTTACATCATTTCCCCTGGCCACCAAATCAGCCTAGCCAGCATGAAGGTATCGACACTCTCCTCTCACCGTCACGATTCACAGTAATCTCTCTTTAATTACCAGCAATTTTTCCACCTTCATGTCTCTAGATATCATGATCCCACATCAACATTCTACCCACCAGCACCCAACACCATCATTCATGCCTGTCCTTGCTAAGCCATCCGCACTTCTCCAGTGACCATCATCAACTCCACCCACCAGCACCATGTGTTTTGTCTTACTTATCGCATCCGCACACCAGTACCACCAACTACAGCCTTTCCTAGCCTTCACGAAGCCTCCAAACCTGTTGATAATCTGGTGAAGATTGGTCCTCTCAGATTTCATCCATCATCATCATCATCTTTTTCTCAAACTTCGAAATAGTTGAAATACAAAGGACAAGACGGGAAAAAAAAATAAAAAATAAAACGAGAGAGAGAACAAAAGATGTTGTAGAAGAGTAACCGGGGGGCATGAGAGGCAGTTGTTTACATGAAGCAGATGTTGTCAATTGATTATGGTTCTAGCCCTGAAAGGTTTCCTTTACCCGTACCATTCCTTTGGTGGCTTGTCAATATAGTTTTTGTTGCACTTACTGGTCCCATATGACAATGATCTGCTGTGAGCTGTGTATTGTTCTCACGAATTTTTTGGTTTGTTATGTAAAGAGTATACTTGTTAAACATTGGAAACAAACCTTAACTGGCTGATACTTCTCTTCTTCTTTCTTCTTCTCAGAGAGTTCGTATTCTAATATCCCAATGACATCTTATGAGCTTCCTGATGGACAGTAAGTTTTGTATCAAGTTGTTAGTTTTGTATTTTGTATTTTTATTTTTTTTAGATGAGTAGGCTATTTGATATAGCAATACTTCTTGAAATCTTTATCTTCTATTGTTGCTTCACCCTTCGTCCCCGAGTAATTGTTTTTAAATATGGATGTATCTCAGTGAAGGTTTCTCGTTAATTTACCTCATTTCTTGACAAATGATCATGAACATTTATATTTGGGAATGAGGCATTTGTTTCCTCTCGTTGAAATTTTAGATAAAATGGTGCACTAACATTCTCTTATCTTCTGTTCATAGGACAATAGAAATCGGAGCTGACAGATTTAAGATTCCTGATATTCTATTCAATCCATCATTAGTTCAGGTTGCTGTCAGGATATGCTGATTTTACATTTTATCATTAAGTTCTATTTTGATATTTCCCATATTCCTATCCTTAAATGCGATTATCCTTAAATGCAATTATCATCACAATTTTTCTAGGATAACTAAAAATATAGTTGAAATTCTTTGTTCTGGCGCCTGCATCATGCATGTGATAATCTTGTTGAACTTTATTTTCCCCCTTATTCTCAATCTGTTCGTGAATCCTTAATCTGGATTTCTAAAATTTGCTTGAATGTTAGATGTTCACTCTGAGATACCTAGTGCAGAACTGATAGGAATAGATGAGAGAACTGATGAATTTTATAACTGAAAGTAATACAGAAAATGAGAGATGCACTACACGGATGACCGCTCTTTTCTCACTACATGTATTCTACCCATCCCCCCCCCCCCCCCCCCCCCCTTATTTCTGATGGGTATTCTTTAGTGCTTTGACATTTGTATTGTACGGGGACTCATGTCATTCATGAAGGTGCAACTTACCTGTGCATTCATGACAGTCTTTGCTAAATCTTCTTGTTAATGCTGTTGTGAATTAGGAGCAGAAATTATATGCCTTTTACAGGTTCAACACATATATAATTGTCATTTGTAGAACTGGTCGCAATACCTCTAGAACCACATCCAGAACTTCACGGAGAACAATTTGTGGCCAGACTCTAATCTGATAAAGATGAAGAATTGGCAGTTATCAGTACTGCTAAAGCAAACGTTTGCACGGGAGTACTTAAAAGACCAATATTATGTTTAACCATTGTCCAGGTCAGAGTCTGGTACAAACTCGTAATTTTGTTTAGTTTGGATATGATCATGCTGTTGAAGAGGAGAACTGGGATTTGAAAGGTAGCAGCAAAGTAAACACCAGGAATGTCCATAAGTGGGCAAGTCTGATGGGTGTGGTTTTCCCTAGATTTATCATTGCATATGAAATGCCGTAAAGGAAAATAACCATGACTTGGGGTGGTGTCTCTATCAGATGGACATACTTACAGATGATAAGGGGCTGGATTCTGATGAAGCCACCCTTTTCAGTGTGTTCAGGTTAATCATGGCAGAAGCTGTTACAGATAGTATCTAGACGTGCAAACCAAGATACTTGCTCTGTGCGTGTTTGGAGGTTTTGCCTGCTTTCTTGGTATGCTGATGTAAAACCGTAAAAGATGATGACTTACGGATTGGACTGATAAAGATAATGCAATAGAGTCAGGACCTAGACCTTATGGAACTGATTATTCAATAAATCAAGCATGGGATTGGAGACTATGTTAGATGGAAGGACATTTTGTTTGCTGTGAAGGTTTTCAATATTTTGTTTTTGTAATTGGGTGGTGTTCTATTTGATCTCTGGTCATCGTGGGTTTAAATATACAAATAGAAAATGTTGACAGTGTAAGTTATGAATGCTGGTCGTGACAAGGATATAACACATATGTTGATGCTTCTGGTACTATTAATGGTCTTATAACTTTGTGCATGTTCTAAGGGCTTGCTATGTTGCTTTCAAGAACACAAGAACTCTTGACTCACAAGTATACAAGAGAAAAAAGTTTGTTCTCTTGAACAATGTATTTCTTTATTATGTTGTGTAGCTACAGCTGCTAAAGAAAACAATCCTAGGACTTTTCTGGCTTACGTGCGTTCTGGACTAGTTCATTTGATGTAGATATGTGCATTCAATATATTCATCCTCTTCCTTCAATATGCAATGTAGAGTACTAAATGTTGATTAATAATGGAACACGAATCTTCACGAGCTAGATCTAACGTTTAACTGCTCCTTATATGTATCATAAATTTGGCTTAGTTAGTAACACCGTAATATTGTGTTATAAATAATTGATTGATTCTAAACATCTTTTGCCTTTTGATACTCTTATGCCAGGCTGTCAGTCTCGTCTTTATTTATATGCAATATTATATCTATGGTATATTTGGTATTTATTCTGTATTCTAATGTAACAATTTGTTGATTACTAAGCACATTACTGCTTTTCTTGTTCAAGTTCGTCTATCTGAGATCATCTAAATTTTTGGTTTGGGTTGACATGGATATTCTGATGTTCTTAGAGCATTCCTGGCATGGAAACTTATGCAGAGACTACTTCATCAGTTCGTGGTTTGCCACAAATGGTGAATACTTTTTATTTAATTCTCATGGTTTTGTCTTCAAATCTGAGTTTATATTGGTTCCTCTCTGTTTCAAGTTAAAAGCAGTTATTCATTTGGAAAATATATCAGGTTATCGAGAGCATTAACAAGTGTGACGTTGACATACGGAGAGAACTATTTAGCAGCATATTGGTAAGATAACTAGTTCTTTAGTCTAAAAGTGACTTGAACATTTATACTTGTCCAGCCAAGGCTAACATATAATATTTTTTCCTCTTCTTTCTTTTTCTGGTTTTAGATTATTGTGTTGAAAGAATTTTTTTCTCTATATACTATTCCATTCTTATTTCCTGTGTTTATTGGGTTATTTATGTTATGCACTCTCTTTCTTCTTCATTATGTAGAAGTCCATGCATGAGCTTTTTCTCGGGTCTCTAGTTTCGCTTCTCTTGCTGTCTTGTCTTTTTTCGCTTTTTCTATGCTACCCTGTGATAGGAGAACTGCATTGGATTTTCATTTGTGCACAATTTCCTTAAGGTTGTACGCAGTTTTCAAAGAATAGTGCCAGGTTAATTTTGATCTCTAAAGAACGATATGCACCAGACACCAACATGCTTGATCCCTTTGGGACCCGAGTCCAACTGGTCATGTGATTTGTCCAATCTCTTTGGTTATTTTAAACTATCGACACTCGACGTTCACAACCTTGACATGCCTCAAATACATGTATGAGATGTCACACGTCATGCCCTATTCATGTGTCCAAATGAATGAAGTGGATTGCAAAAAGAAAATACAGATTTCTATACATAAAATATCGATATGACAGTGGGTTGACTGGGATTCGAATGCTGAACTAGTCGGATGGAGTAATGAGAATTTTATTGAAAATTTAAAGAATTATGAAGATAGAGAATAATATTTAAATATATTATCTGTAGTATTTTGTTTGATATGTTAGTGTTTGTTTTTTGTAAATTTACAAGTACCTTCCTTGCTTCATAGGTTTCTGGTTACTTCTAAACAATGTAGGATCTGTCAAGGCAACAATGGATGATGTCAATTATAACTTGTAATATTATGAAGAGTAAACATACTTATTCTTAAATTTGTAATTTAAGTTATTGATTTTTTTCAGCAATTTGTTCCTAATAGGTTCCTGCAGTATTTTTCGCTTAAGATTATTACTATAGCACATTAAGCTGATGCTAAGTCCTTAATTATTAACTGATATTTTTGCTGTTCCCACTTTCATGAAAGTTGAAACTCTTCCATGTGGTAAGATCATCTTGTAACCAGATGTATTTGATTTCAATCATCCAAGTATGTTGAGGAAGTATTGCTGTGGTGAATGTCATCATGAGATAATGTGGAGTGAATTATTTTCATTGTCACATCAATTCCTGATATTCATCGATCTCGTCCTGTAGCTTGCTGGTGGCACGGCATCAATGCAGCAATTGAAAGAACGTCTGGAGAAAGATTTACTTGAGGTACAACGCAAGACTAATTCTGATCAAAATATGTCTGGCGCTTTCTTATTTGTTCATCTACTTCTCTTTTTGTATGACTTTACCGTTCTCTCTTTCCCACACAGTCCAGATTTTTTTGAAGGAAAAATTGAGCAACTGTACTCAATTGGTTATCAATTTGTTGAAAATCTGCATCATGTATAGATTTTGTATTTATATATTTCTAAATCATGTAAACCTTATTCTCGATAAGTTTGGAGTTGGTTGCGTGAATTTTTATTGTGATCTACTACATCCATTACGAGTTCAATGAAATCGAATGTGCAATAACAAAATCCATGTTTATTTTGGTCATGCCTTCCTCTTCTTGTTTGATTAGGCGCTTGTTTGACTGGGCTTACTAAAAAAGAAAATTTACAAATAAACTTTGTATATAGGGTGTCATTAGCTTCGCATACTGTGTTTTTAAAGTTAAATACTACTAGTTTATAAGCATTGACATTTAGGAAGATTTTTGTCATGGTTCCCATTGCAAGTCATGGGACTTGGATCCCATAGATTTATATAGACTTGAGCTCTCTAATGGCTAGCTTTTGAGGTATGGCTTTCTTAGGACTATGTCAAATTTTTAATGCTTATACTGTATGCAGGGATAATTACACTTAAAATAATTTAATTTCAATACTTTATAATTTTATCGACTGTTATTTCTTAAACATTAAGAAATAACATATTCAGGTGAAAAAAATCAGAAAATTACTATTGTGAATATAAGAAAGTAACTTAAGCAAGCAATACAAAAATTTTAAAAATTTTCTTGTGTGTAAAGTTCATTTATAAAGTAGGTCAAACTATCAAAAATAAAAAAAAAAACTACTAAAATTTGATTGAAATGGAACTTTAAACAATATATCAAAATTGTTGGTGGAATGGTAGCCAACCTTTATTCATGAACAATAGAAGGCATAAGAAATTGTAGAAATGCTGCTTAAGATACAATTGTAAAGAAGTGAATCTTCAAACAATTTGTTATGCAGCATTTGTTTATTTCATGTGCCATTAATACAAAACTCCTTTACTTGGCACTGGGGAGCACTTGAGCCAAAGAATTCATCTCTATCCAGAAATCATGCCAAAAAAAAAGATGTTTGTATTATTTCTATGAAATTTTATGTTCCCAGGAAAACCACTTTATGCATTCCTAGTACGAGGGTTCATTTTGTTTGAGGCATATAAAAAATAGATGAGTCCCTTTGCAATATTAAAGAATTAAGTTAGATATGAGAGACCACGAAATTCCAATCCTCCTACTTCGTAAGTTAGACTCTCTTCCCCTTGCTCCAATGCATGTATATATTCCTAATTTCCTATCAACATTATTCCATGAGAACTTTGCAAATATGCTCTGAACGTTTCAATTAGGATCTTAGGAGGCGTGGAGAAGGTAGATTGGCATGGTTGCACAGATTGGACGAGAGTAATGTTTGCTCCTGCAGATAGAATTTATTTACCCAGCCAACTATTTTCCTTCTAATCCTGTTTAGTAAGTCATCATAGAGGATGTCCTTCTTTTAACACCTTTATAAACATAGGAACACCTAAATATGTAATGACGTCTGTTGATGTTTAAATCAATGAGAGAGAAAACTCTACTGATCATTTGGAGAAGACGATTTTTATCAGGATGAAGACAATTTAATTTTTATTTACTTTCTGCCCTCAGGTCACTTCACATGTAGAAAGGAAGTTCATAACTGTAAAGGTTTATCTTTTGTAACCAGTTGAGAAAATAATAACGTCGACAACAAAGGCCAAATGTTAAATTGCGTGACTGCAAATTAAGGGGTTTTTTTTTAAAAAAAAAAAGATATATATATATATATATATATATATATATATATATATATTTTTTTTTTTTTATTATTATTATTTTTTTTTAAGTATGTCTATAAGTGGGGATGACTTCTGTATTTGATCACACAAGCATAGAAGCTAGTTCTCGAAAAATTTTGTTGACAAATATATTTGTGCCTCACCCATGATTTCAATGTAGGATTCATGTGCGTAATACTTTTATGGTTTGTACAATCTTATATTCTATTTAAAATATTGTCTTCCTCTATTAATGAGACATTTTATTTTTGAAAATTTCATTGAATGATTTCATCAACCATGGATTTCACCTAGAAGCTTCAGTACTCCAATTGGAATTTCATTAACGCCATATTTTATTTTGGCATAATTTTTCCATAGAATTTGACAGGTGTCTATGACCAAGATATACCTTCCATTAGCAAATTTATTGAAATGATTCTTCGTCTTTCTATCAACTGATCAACATGAAAACAAAAGTTTGTACTGCACTTAATTTGATTCCATTTTTTCGTCATTTTTCTCTTTGCTGAGATATGTTTTAAAATTCTCCCTATCCCTGGTTTAGATAACTATGTTTCTTATATTGTTCTTGAAACTCTCGAATCACTCTTGGCTTCTCCTATAGCTAATTTATGCTTAACATTATACTCATTTTTACATTTTGGTAAATTTCTTAAGCATTATCTGTTAGCCGTAACAATCATTTGAACCTGCTCATTCCCCTCATGCTTTTTCTTATTAGAGTGGGCTCTGGAGCATTTGATTGTCCTTAAACCTCTTTTGCTACGTTTCTGATGCAACTAGCAACCTCATTCCATCAGTAGAGGTCATTTGTATTGTACCCCGCATCCTGGAGGTTCTGTTGTCATATATCATGAACTTTAACTTCTTTGACCTTTCTTTTCCTCCTCTTAATCACTACATTTAGCGTTACTGACCTATGTTGGTTGCACTCTCACCAAGAAAAACCTTACAATTCTTGCATCAAGCAGCACTAACCTATGTGGCATTGTTAGTTTCTCACTTGTTACACCTCCGTAAAGAATGATCTCACAATTCTTGCATAACGACTTATTTACCTTCCATGAGAATGAAATGTATTTGAACTCTTGTTCACTTGTAAAGTTATTAAGCAAGCCTCTCTTGTTCGAACACATAAAAACTTCCAAGTCTTTGAAGTCTAATATAGCATTTCCTTTATGAAGTTATCCATGTAGTGATGATGGTAAGCATTGTTGAAAGTCGGAATTGCTTTTATTTATTGCACGTGAGGTTGATTCAATGATTGGTGATTTCAGCCAATTGGTAATATTAGAACTTGAATAGAATGTCATCTGATTTCAGTATTTCTATATTCTTCCAGGAATCTCCTCAAGCAGCAAGAGTTAAAGTGCTGGCAAGCGGAAATGCTACTGAAAGGAGATTCAGGTTAGATATAATTGGCTTATTGCCATAACGTGTTGTTGCTCCAAATACATCTACTGCTTTAATATTATTTCAGAATTCAAAGCTCATTGCACTTTCTCAAATGCCATCGCCTGTGTGTATTACACACTTGAGAGTGAATTTTTATGCAATTCTGTCATGGGCTATTAACTTTATTTTTCGTAGGACCTAAGAAATATTTTTGTAACTTGAAAGCTAAAAGAAATTCATTGCATGACCTTAGTCACAAATTTGCAGAACGTCGTGGTGGGTGCTCTTGCAGTATCTTGAGAGTGTTGGTCCACATTTTTTGATGGTCTAAGCATCCTGAGAGCACCTAGTAAAAATATTTCCAATGAATCATCAAGATTAATATGAAATTTTGGTCTGTGATAGTGTTTAAGCTAAACAATGTCAGTTTTAAAATTGAAAGAGATATATACTTGTCTTCTAAAGGATATGAAGACAGCTAAGGACTGCTTTGGTGGATAAAAAACAGACTTCTTGCTAGAGAAGCACACCGTATTTGTAATTAGAGAATGAGATTTTGTTGTGGTCGAAACTAAATGTTGCTCTCTATCTCCCAAGAATATTCCTTCCAAATTTGATAACTCAAATTGTCAGCTCCTTAATTCCTTGAAATGATGTTAACAAGGTACAATCAAAATGTGAAATTTGTTACAATTTCAAGGGCACTGTTCGAATAACGCCATCTTAAATGCGTGTGCTCTTAGCGAAATGGATTTCCAATAGGGTTTTCTTGAAAAGAATCAAATTAGATCATTCCCTCCCCACTCAGGAAGAATTTTTTATTCAAAGAATGGTTATAAAAACAAAATTCTTCTCAGTCGATACTACTAAATAATGGTTATGTATTTGCAGTGTTTGGATTGGAGGGAGTATATTGGCATCACTTGGTTCTTTTCAGCAAATGTGGTTCTCAAAGTCTGAGTAAGCAATCATTATCCAGTCACATCTTAATTTACGGTTGACTTTGCTTCTTTTTTAAAATTTTAACGCACACCTGCAAATGCAATCATATACTCTTTGTATGTACTTGCAACAAATGTGTTCTTTATCATTTGGTTCTTGAAACTTGCACTCTCGTTTTTGCTAGGTTCGAGGAACATGGAGCTCCGTATATTCAAAGGAAATGCCCATAGTGTGCTGTAGTTTCGTGAATTTCCAACAGGGTCTTGGATGGTTATTATTAGTTTGGTTTTGCATCTGTACTAATCACATTCATTAGCTGTTGAATCCTGGAGGATGGGTTGATGACTTGGGTCTCCCTTTTGAGAGGTTCCTGTGGGGATTTGTTGTCACTTTTAATGTAGCATAACCTTATCATTATTTGAAGAAGTGGGGTTCTGGATACTTGGCACACCACACCAATGTTATTTCCTTCATTGAAAACGGATGGCCATTTCAAAATGCTCCAATTACTTTCTCAAGCTTCGATTGTTCAAAATTGGTTCACACAATAGGATCTGAATGTTAAGACGTTGAGTAGAAAGACAATTGTAACAGCAACTATTATGAAGAAGGTACGTGCCAGGCCTAAAGACTGAAAAATGCACAACCAAAGAAAGAAAAATCAAAGTTGATTTCAACGCTAATCATTCGCTGCATGGCCAACCTCAGGTTTTGCCTTGCACTTTTTTATTTTATTTTTTGTATGTTATTTTTACACTTAAATTCTTAAATAATGTTTAGATTGATTTAGAAATTTAAAATAATATAAAAATAAGAAAACTCTTCACGCTTTTTTACATCTACGGCCTCGCCTAACCCGAAACTTGGCCTCCATGCCTTGCCTGCTTTATGTTCTTTGAACCCCATTCTTAAGTGAATGGTGCGTAGGAAGGTAATTTTTTGATGAAGATACATCAACGTAACTATATTCTACCTTAAACAAACTTCCTACTCTACTGAATTTACAGGCATGCGATATTTTGGTCAACGAACGTAATGTACTGAATTTAAAGGCGTGTACTATTTTATTATGGAATTAGCATTGAATTTTTTTTTTTTACCTCATTAGTTAATGTACTCGTTTTCTTTTTATGGGATCCGAATGAGTTATGACAGCCTACAAGATGGCCTAGCGAGGGCTCACAGTCACAGGGGCGAAAGTCAGTTCGACTCGCCGAACCAACTTTTTCACTAGTCTTCGTATTAAGGTTACAAACATCAATATTATTGTGAGAACCAATTGTTTTAGGACACGTAATTCTGTATATTGCCTCATTGCGTACACGATTTGAGGGAATTTGAACAGGGACTTTCAAATAAGAATTTCACTATTCAAATTTAACACGTTCGGTTGGTTTTTTATATCGAAAGTATCAATAAACTTTGACCATCCTCGAACAACTATGTCACTCATGTATAATCTAATTAGGAGCAATCATGTAAATCGTTTGGGTTCAACCAACGAACACATCAAAACTAAAGATGTGCAAACCTGTTAGTCCATTTCTATGTCTGCTCTTCTAACGGGGAGGCCACTGAACTCCATATTTCCAACTACGTGATTGAACTCCATTTTAGCCTATGTTCGATGGTCATTATTTGGCAAAATAAAGTTTTGAATGGTGAATTTTCGGATAATGTGTGATTAAAAAGAGCGAAAAAGTTTTAAATTTACGTGCAGAATATTTTATTGTATAAACATGTGATTAAAAATGAATTTGTACGATAAAGAATTTAGAAATAATGATTATCAAACTGAGGCTTAATGTAATTAGAACACAATTTTTTTACTTTTTATTTTTAAATCATTAAACGTTTGTCAAGTGCATTAAAGAATTAAATAATTGAGCAAAATCTTTTAAAATATTGCATTTATTTCTTGTTCTTCTTCATATTAAAACTTTGATTGATTGAATCAAGCTCTTAAATCATCATATTTATCAAAGTTTCTCGCTCTCTTTTGATACTTGACTATCATTCATAAAAAAAAAGTGATATAATTTGAGAAAATTTTTTTACTTTACTTTGAATTTATTTTTTCTTCTTCCTTATATAAAATTTTTTGATTGATTTGAGTTAAACTTTTAAATCATCATATTTATACAAAAAATTCATTTAACACTTACACTATCATTTATTGACATTCACTGAAGTGCTAGTCTTCCATAATACTTAATTCATTTGTATCATTTATCAAGAGAGAGGCACTCATTATAAAATCATTTTCTTAAACTTGTGTGGGTCATATTGATGTCTTTTCAAAGCTTAATAATATAATATCGGTGCTCCTTGTTTAAGTCATTGCGTGAATCGTATTGAGATCCTTTGAAAACTCAATATTGTATAAAGATTAGTGCTCCTCGTTTGTAAGTCACCTAAAGCATTATAAAGGTTTGAATTGCACCAGAAATCGATCAATACCGTGAAAAGATTTTGCTTGTGACAAAAAGCTTGGTAACCAACGATGTAAATCATTGAATTGGATCCAACCTCCATAATTATACGTTTGTATCATCATCTCTTCCCTTTTACTTATCTTTATGCTGTTTACTTTTATTGTTTGATTGATTGACTAGTTTTACTTGCTTGATATAAGATTAATTTTTGAAAAGCTTTTTTAACCAACAATCCACCCCCTCTTGGTTAGTCTTTCTTGGACTATCACATGGTACATAAAACAAACAATACACAATAATTTTGGATCGTACAAACCCAATAATTTAGAGAGAGAAAAACTGAGAGGATTTATGAACATCAAATACCTAAAATTTCCCGTATAAAATATTAATCGGTGATTTACGGAGGACCAATCTTTCTCCACAATAATACATTGAATTTGCTATGATTGAAAAACCATCTCAAATTGTGTAGATTACAGATATAGACGAAACCTTGCAATTTTTTCCTTCTACGGTCGAAGTTCAGTTACTTTCCATGCAATTTACCCTATTTGAATTGTCCCTGTTGTGAATGGTAAATATTTGGAGAATGTTTATTGCATTTACCGAACACCATAAATAAATGCAATTAACGGTTCGCCTAAAGTAGCATGTAAAAGCCACAGAGAGTTCACACAAGATATAATACCATCCAGTATAAAGGCTTTTTTTGTACATTATGCAGCAGCAACATAGTTTACATTCTATTAAACTCAGCAACCACCACTAGCAGGTTCAATCGAGCTCAAAAGCCCATTGCCTCTGAGCTGCATGCAGTGTTCTTCGGCATCTGCTTGAGCGCATATTATTACAACTGATAGCCCATTATAATGTGCTTCTTGCATTATATTTACAGCATTGTCGAGGGTCATTCCAGGAATAACCTTCATTAGAACTTGCACAACGTACTCCCTTTTATTGTAATTGTCGTTGTGCAGCATAACTCGATAAGGAGGAGCCATTTTTTTCGATTTCCTGGAAAATGGAAAACACAACTCTAGAAAGATGTTGGATGTCCAGATAGGTTTACCCTACCTCTACATATTATTATTGTGCCTAAACAATGCAAATTGACAGACGTTATACATAAATAAAAATTATGTTTATCAAGTGCCTGTACATTATACCAAAGAACTAAAACTAAATAATTTGTAACAGTAATTATATATGGATAGATATGTAGTCAGTACAACTCAAAATAGAAATTTGAATGGAAACACAAGAAGCAAGACACTCCTTCCAATTTCAAGAGTGACTACGTGGTTGGGTTGCTGCTATCAAGTTAGGTTGGTCACCTTATAAATCATGACCTCTTATTATTCATATACCTTTTAAGAATTTAAAATATCCATTGTACCATGTCACAACACAAGCCCTATATGAAAACAGTTATACCTTCACTATCCGTACCTCAGATCAAACTCAGATTCACGTCCAGGAGCTGTTTTCTCTATGACAGGCTTCTCCAAAATCCCGCCACCGCCTTTCCCTAAAGCAGCTATTGGCATTGACGTAAATGAGCTCCGGCTTGTGCATTGCTTATGACGTGGGTACTTATCCGCTATTGCATACATCAACCAAATATCTCAATAGAAGTAATGCTCCAAATAATCAACAAAACTTCACAGATTTTTAGTTGAGTGGCTAAGCGACATATAAAATTACACTTGATATTACAAAAAGGAAGGCAGATATAGAAACTAAACAAAGAGAACAGGTAAAATATAAAAGGCCCAATGATATGGTTGATTCTCAATCTAAAAGCACACAGTGATTTCAGAAGGTGTTTAAATAGTTATTAACATAACTGACAATTAGAGCTTGGTTGATCTATGTTACTTGCCAATCAGGAAATCATAACTGTCTTTGTTCTCCACATTTATCTCCCACAAAAGTTATCCTAAGAGAACTTATGCTTATTATCTGAATCCAGAACATGTCAGCTCCCAGCACAACTCCGAAACCATGGTTAATGATATTTCCATTCTTCTTGTGTTTCTCGTTGATAATATCACATAGAAAAGGGAAAAGGATTATACCGCAAGGCAATATTTAAGAAAAAAAAAAAAAAAAAAAAAAAAAAAAAAAAAGGGATTATCTAAAGTGGAAATCTTCAAATGTTCAAGGTATTTGAGTTGATGCACAATGAGAGGGCCAGTTCAAACTATATATAACAAAGTATACGGTATGACGGAACATGAAAGTTATTCATAAAGACAAACGCCATAGCAGGTTCCATTATCAATTCATTGTTGAATCTTCAAAGGTCAACCTTGTTAAGATGAGCAACTCAAACCTCATATCTTGGTTAATGTTTTCATCTTTATTCGATGTGTGGAGTTCTCTTATGAAAACAAACTTCCAATATCATCTCATAAAAGTCTTAAGCTATAAATTGGAGAAAGTACCCATTTTTGAACATTGAATTTTCAATTTATTACAAGTATTTGTACCTGATCAACTGTGTCCTGAAATAACAAAGAATCAGGCATTTTCAGGATAACTAAATTACATTAGGTTGATTGCATTGCTCCTGCAATCTGAACACGATTATCTTCGAACTTCTCCACAATTGGGCACAAACATAACACAAAGCCATTAGAAGCCTTTTGAAATATGTAACATCATCTCATGAAATTGAAAGGTCCGCTTTATGGGTTAATTTTATAAGCACTTCGGGTAACCACCCCCCAAGTTTCAAACGAAGCGGTAAAAATTAAAATTTCTAACCAATTATGGGTGCTAGTAGTCATATGATAGTACAGTTAAAAGCAAAATTTCACATAAACTTGATAGATTACTCAAATATAAGCTGTTAATACAAATGAAAACAAAAAAAGTTAACATCTATTACAAACAATAAAAATACTTAGGTATAAAATTTCAGAAACAAACTACTAGAAGGAAATTACCGGGTATGGGTTGGAATATTTGATTAGGGGAAAGAGCAACTCGTCCGCAACTAATCGCACTCTCCATTTTTCACTCCGACTCTTCGCACCACAACCACACACACAAAGAATAAACAAAATGGAGGTCGTGGCTCCTGGGCAACAATAATATCCTCAGTTTTTTTCCAATTTCCTCTATTGTCCTGCAAAATCTCAGATTTTTTTTATTTTTATTTTTTATTCCTTCAATTTTGAGAAAAGCAAATGTAGACAAATGGTTATCACGATTCGACGTAAACGACGACGTATTGACCGCCTCGCAACAAATAAAAATCAAAACCAAGAAAGTACAGGGCTTCATAAAGTTGGAGTTCCAAAATTAGCCTCCGTTACATTTTCTACCAAGGGTAAATAAAGGAAATCTTATTTGGTAATTCACATTTTAATATAAGTCAAAATCAACAATTAATTTTAAAAGTATATTTATGTATCCTATAATTTTTCAATCACATATTTTATCTACTTATATTAAAATATACTAAAATTTTTATTTTAATCCCTATCAAAGAGGGGCTAATGTTAAATTCTACGACTTTTCTCATATCATCCCTAAAATCACAAAATTAGTAATGCCAAGTTATGGCAATGTTTTTAAATTAAAATATTAAAAGATGTGGCATTTTTTTTTTTTTTTATCACGTTCCTGATGTGGCATTAGAATCGGGCAAAAATCGAATCAACCAACTCAAATTGCCCAACACGTTTGGGTCGGGGATTGCTTCAACTTTGACTGTGTTCGATTTTTGCGGATAGAGAAATGGGATGGGCTGGGTCAGGTGATGCCCGTCTCAAACCACGCAACCCGACCCATCAATTTTATTTAAAAAAAAAAACAAAAAAAAAAACAGAAAACAAAACCTCCTCATCAAAGCAAAAGAAGGTAGAAACTCAGAAGCCTTATATTACGTTCTTGAAAATCTGACATTTTGTTGGTGCAAACATGTTTCACAATTGCAAAATAATTTAGGTTGCGGCGGGTTTAGTTTTCTACTTTCCATTTTCAGTTTCAAAATGGTTTTTAGTTTTCTTCGAAAACACCGTGTTTTGGGCATTTTTAGCGTTTTGGAAACGCTCAAAACAATAAAAAAATCGTTTTGTATTTTCAATTATAAATTTTACCTTGTTTTCGAAAACGCATTTTCGAAAACAACAAATCAAACACGTTTTCCGCATTTTCGAAAATGGAAAATGGCCCAAAAACTCCAAACCAACCGTACCCTTAGTTTCTTGAAATCTACCTTGTGCATTTTGGTGGATTAAGGTGTAAGTATTATGCCCTAGGTCCAATCAACTTTGGACATAAATACTTTTATATATAATTAATGCAATTAAATGGCAGATCTATTATTTAATTAATAGACAATTAAATAAATAATAGAGTCCGTAGATTCAAATATTTGTAATTTGTTAATCACAAGGAGTTGTGATTGTGAGATACAGATTACATCTGATTGAATCTTAAATCATCCGTGGTCGTAAGTAATAACGAGATACGGATATCGTTATTACGGATAGACCATCACGTGTGGCATTTCTTACTTGTGAAGTAAGTAGCTGATCTCACAAGCCAAAGTGTGGTGACACTTAAATGAACACGTGGATGTTTTTGTTATAGAACAAAACATTGGAGACCCGTCGAGAGATTCCACATGGATAACTATCTGAGTGTCGGTGGTTAATCTCTAACGTTCGGTAGTGAAATTGGTCCTTTGACTTGAGGTCGTCAT